AAGATGTCCGAGCCACCTCAACTGACTCCTCTCAATGTGGAGAAGAACCGGCTCTACACTGAGCCTCTCCCGAATGACATTCGGGAGAGAGACATCTGTAATAGTCCTATTAAATCTGAAATTAAATACCTGGGGATCCACTTTTCCAAGGACCAAAAACGAAAGCCAACTTTTGAATGTAGAAAATAAATTAAAGAATGCAAGTCATGACTAAACATATGGCTAAATGTTTATCTAGATGTATCTACCCGGCCTATTCCAATGCCATTCCAAACAGATTAATTGAATCTATCAACCAAATCAACCTAAATTTCATTTGGCGAAACAGACCACATTATATAAAGAAAAGCAGTATGATTAAAGACACAAAGGATGGAGCTCTCAAAGTTATTGTTTTTGACTGCCTTAATGGATCTTTATCTTGGATCAAACACAGCAACTCCTTTTGGTTTTGTATTCCAAAGCCCTTGTTCAAAAAAACTAGAGGATTTGAATTTCTTCTTAGAGCGGACTTTAATGTCGACAAATTGCGAATATCATTGTCAGAGTTTTACAAACAAATCCTCTCGTACTGGAAAATGTTATATGTGCATAACTTCTCACCCCACACAACTGTTCTCTGGAACAACAGATTTATTCTGCACTGCTACAAATCTCTGTTCTTTGAAGACTGGTAGGGGAGAAACATACAATATGGTCCATGGCAGATTTAATGGATACCAATAGTTTTTTATAATTTTTTACAATTTTGCAATAACCATAATTTCAAACCTTTAAAGTCAGACTTTAATAAATTACATAGAGCACTACCCCAATTATTTGTCTTTTTAACCAAAAATACTTTGGCATGTCATCCAATTCACCACCAATTAGCTGCTCTATCAATTCAAGGGAATGTTATTATGGATAGAAAATGCACTAACCATTTTATTTAAAAAAATTTTAATGAATACCTTACCCTGTAAGACAAAATAAAAATAGCATCCTACAAAAATTTGATAAAAACTCAATATCTAAACTAAGAACAATGTATCTAACACTCCCTATGTCCACAAAGGTGAAAGAAAAACACTTTGAAATAATGAACATTTACCTTTCTAAAGAATTACTTAGACTTCGCTTTGGTATAGATGATAACACATATAGGTTCTGTGAAAATAATGTAGAAATTACAGACCATGTGTTCTTCTCATGTTCTGTGGTGCAGACATTTTGGTGTGATTTGCACAGATGAATTACAAAAGAGCTATCGTCATTCCCAACCTTTATCTCCAGAGACACTTATTGACATTTATTCATTCCTTGCACTGTCTTTGCACAACATCACTATCACTTTATTGGATTTATAGTTTTATATATATATATATATATATATATATATATATATATATATACACACACACATGGTCTGATACTTGCTCTAATACTGCAAAATAAAAGTGATGAGCTCTGCACTAATACAATTAAGCTATATATAAAATCATTATTATCCTAAAACACTTCCTAACAGAAGTAAACAGCTAAACAAAGACTGAATTCTTCCCTTGTGTTATCTTTCTTATTATAATTTTATTTTATATAATTGTATTTATTTTGTAATTGTTTATCATAATTTTCTATTTGTTTATTTATTTGGTTTTAATGTATTTGAATTTTTATGTGAATAACCCTTTATAGCAAGATTACACTGCAGGTATATTTCTTATTTGTATTAAGTGATGCTCCCCCGGCTATACTTGAAGAAACTAATTCTATGCAACCATGTTTGTCTGTTAATCTGGATATTTTCAGAAAAAAGAAAAAATACAAAACAAAACAACGAGATGGCACAGAGCAAATTGTGCGGGACAGGAAGTCATGAGTAAAGAAATAAATAAAACGTCAGGTTAATTTTCTAAATAACAATGATAATGATAAAGCATTTTCTGTGGTAACTTGGCCTTACTTCAAGAGTCATCAAAATTGTCCAATACAAAGCCTCAGAACTTAAAACTCATTGAAACATTTTAAAATGGCATATCAGTTTCATTTCTATTGGTTTTGTTTTTGTGTTGATATTCTTCTCTTAAGGGAAAACAGGATAGGGAGGAGAGGCTGAGTCAAACCAAGCACGTATCTGGGCCAAGCAGCAAAAGGAGCAGTAAAGAGAGCGATAGAGCGAGAGCAGGTAGTACAAAAGGTAGAAACTGTACCGGAACTGAATACATTTTAAAAGCCAGATGTTTAATACAATGATAATTAAAGTATTGGGTAAAATTATTATAGAAATATGCTCCAAAGCACATTGGGGCAATGATTTATATTTGAAATATTGAAGTAAATATGAAGCAACTTATTTAATCTATATTAGACTTTTGTGTTACATTTCTAACCAGTAGTAGATAGAAGTTTAGAAAGAAAGATGACATAAAACTCAAGTTTATAATATCTGGAAATAATAGAATAGAGACAGAGAAAAGCACAGGCAGCTTACTGAATACGGAGCCAGGGAATTTACACGGGGGGAAAAATATATAACGTTCCCACAAAATACTACTTTGTGCACATGGAGAACTTTTTGTGGCATTATATGGGCATTTATGTCATTCTAAAAACATCTGGGGGTGTAGCCTTACCTCCCAGTTTTTAATTCCATTTTTAATCATGCCCTTTAGAATCTAAAGTCATGCATTTTCCCCTACATGTCCATCCTTTCCGCAGCGCAGCAATGACTACATTTAATTTCACAAACACCTGCTGAGTGGCCCATTATAGACAACTGGTACCGGATAATGGACTTCCAAACCGCCCTTTCTCCACTATAGAAACCAGTGAGGACCATAACTGTAGGGGGTAAGCCTATAGGCTTCACCCTTAGAGCGTTTCTCTTGGGGGATAAAGGCAGAGCAGAACAAAGTCTATATACGTTCGACCAGACCACAGACAAAGCATCTGCTCACAAAGTCACCTTCAGCATGTGTAAATACTTCAACATATGATCTCTGATCAAGACATAACCAGATATCACTGCTGCTGTGCATGATGAAGACAAAGGTTATAAACTGTAACAGTTCAGATGAGTAGAGAACAGAAGCAAACTGCTAACAGTGCCTGGATGAGCGTAATGACAGGTAAAAAGGCCCTGTGTGTGTAAAGCGCTGCTGCAGATGGAAATAACTCTCACCACTGGAGGTTTGATGAAACTCAGCTCCATTTAATTTGAGGCTCCAAGTCATCTAAGGCGATAGGTCCTAGTATTTTATTCTGTCATTTTAAAGCTGTTCACTCTAAAAGAGAAGGTCCATTCTCTTCTCCTCTGTTACATCTTCTCCACATAAAGGTCATATATCCCACACTGTTACAAATGTACTTTTTTGCTGCTTACAGTAATTGGATCAATCTGCATTTATCACATGAACTTATATGCATCCTTTCCTCCTTTAATTTGACCTTAAGCTGAAATATGAAGTGTTCAAAACAAGCACCAATTGGACAGCAACAGGTGTTATTTTACAGCATTGTCCTGCACACATCGTAACATCTGGTAATCAGTCATACCTTGCTGTCAATATTTTATTTAAATGCCTCACTAATGAGAAATCAGAGTCTTTTTATAGTTCATCCTTCACCCAAAATAAAACTCAGTTAGACTATCCTGGTTTGTCCTGTTGGTTTCTTCCTCACTTCCTCTGTTACAGAATGTGCTCTGCAGGAGGATAATGTTTTTAATTTTTTTTACTTATTTCTGTGGCCACATTAGCTATGTTACATAATGAGAACTAGTTTGCACACAAATTCATCTTTCGAGCGAACAAATTAGTATTTTGTGGGCACATATTAGTTTTTAGTGTGCATATTATATATATATTTTTCCCATGTCAGTTCCCAGGCTCATTAATTGAAGATGAAGACAAGGGAAGAGAAAAGAGAAAAAGGGAAGGTCCTGGAAGGGACATAATGACAATAGTAAAGGCCAGATTTAAAAGCTTTAATTCAAAAAATTTCCAGGGAGGCTTGCCTAGAATTTCTCACCCTTGACCTCAATGTCTTTAGGTACTGTGTGCAGTAGGATGATTTCATAGGACCTGACTTCTGATGGAGTATAGTAATTAGAAAAAAAAAAAAAAAAGGCTAAAGAATTCTTCAAATTGTTTTCTACTGGAAGTCGACAGCAAGGAAGTTTGATACCAGGTGGAAAATTAACTAGACAACAGAGAGATGCAGAGTTAATGATTGAGGGAATGATCTTTTCATTGCTCTATCTTGATTAAATGGATTGGATAGTTAAAGTTTGCTAAGTATATTTGGTGGCCTGCACTGCAGTTTCCTGCTTCTTTTAGGAGACGTAAACCTAATTAACACAGATGGGCTTAATTAAAGCATATTTGTTTTTTTGTTGCTAAGTGTTAAATGCTGGCTGCAATGGATCATCATCACCGTTCGGCCATTTTGAAAATCAACACAGAGAAGAACGAAGCTCATATCAGCACATTGGACCTACTTTTTGCTCCGTTATTTGAAGCTGAATGAAGACAATGGAAAAGCAAAACAAACTCAGATTCTAGGGTATGGTAACAAATAGAGCTTCATTTTTAACCTAAGCTTTGTTTTCAGTTTTATGTCTGCGGTTTGTCATGGTAGAACTGGAATTAAGATCTGAGTCTGTGGACTAATTTAACATCCAGAAATAAAAAAGGAAAAACAACAAGGAGAAATTATCGAAATTATTTGTTCTTTGTTTTGTTTCGGATTTTAGTACATACTAAATGACCTGTACGATGACATGAAAGTGATAAAAATATATTAATATATTAGTCACATAAAACTAAGAGAGTGAAACACAAGTAAAGATTGCGGATGTAAATAATAATAATCTAATATCTGTTTGTTTTTACTAATAATTTGCAATTTTGGCTGAGTTTGGATCTTTTAGTTGCTTTCAGCTTGTTATATGTCATCTGACTGTGAAATATTTTTCCATAAGGAAATATCCCAGATTGATTTTTTGCAGCAGTAGTCTCCTATCATGGGACCAGGTTGGAATTTACTGACCCTTAAGAGCAAAATATTTATACCAAGATAGGAAAGAGACGAAAGCAGGAGTCTCTAAACTGTAGCTTGTGAGCTATCACAAGCTCTCAACACGTTTCCAAGTAGCTGTCCAAAGAATCATTCCAGGACATGCTACTTCCTGTTCCAGCCACCAACCTTTATCTTATTTTTCAGTTTCTTTTATTTCATCGAAATGTTCAAGTTACAAGTTCAAACTGATTTAAGAACTTTAAGAATCTGTCTACATGAATGACCAAAGAGTTATTTTAAATGATCGTTCTTTGTTAGAGATATGAATACAATTAAAGAGAACTCACGTTGATCTGAGTTGGATACCTGGAGGAGAACCAGAAGCAGCCAGATTAAGGATCTTTTAACAAAAAAGTGTTGGGTGATAATTTTCTTTTCTCTGTCTCCGTCCATCTTGTATGAAGGGCTCTTTGCGTGTGTGTCTCCAGTCTTTCACCTTATCTGTGGGCTGTTACAGCTGCAGGTGGACTTTTACCCATCATAAAAATCTTCATGTTTGTAAAACCATATAAGATCAGTTTCTCCCACTGATTGCCTTTTATTGAACTGGGCTGACATGAGTTATATGATCAAAACAAGTCTAAACATTTGAATAAAACATGAAATATTGCCCCCTTTTCAAGCAAGCATTTCCTCCTCTTCACACTTTCTTTTTTACGTTTGATCACAGTTAGAAAAACGGATTAAAAAAAACACTTGTTGAAAAATGAAGCCCCACAGAAATGAGAAAATCTTTATTAAAGTCTCTTCACCATGGTTCTAAGTCCTAATGGAAGATCAGTCGCCTCTACTCACTTTTCTATGAACTTTCCTCAAAAATGAAAACAGTAAAGGAAAACAGAGAGGATATTTGATGTGGGTTAGATAGTAATAAAATAATACATTTTTAATAAGTGAATATTCTAATAACTGCTGTTGAAACAACTAGAGATTTACTCAAAAGTATTTGGTAAGATATTTCAGCAACTTATATTTCACCAAAACATGGGAGGATAGAATAGCATTGGAATGATGTCACACTTCCGAGGGTGAAATCATTACAATGCTATCTATAATTGCATTTCAATGATAGCCTCCGTCTTATCAGCATTGCTTAGCGACCACAGGGGTCGACATTCAGACAGTGATCCCAGTAGATTTTACACATGAATAATAATAATTGATGAAAACCAAAAAAAAACTACCGAAGATAAAGGCAGATATGATGAAAAATGAGCTATAATCTGACAGGGAAACAGCGCCTGGACAGAGGCTACAGCTGACCAAGGCTGGCTGACCAAGGGTAGTTAGTATACTATTGCACATATAATGAAATCTATATAATTATAGTAACCATAACATACAATTTCTTGATAAAATTTGTATATTTTTTATATTGATGGATCACTACTCATGCAGAAATCATTGCTTGTACTGTATATAAAAAAACAAAACAAATTATTGGTCTCGGGGCCACATTGGCACACAGATGTCCAAATTAAACTTGGTTTTGAGACAAACTTATTTTACAAGAACAGTCTGGCTTTAGTTACGGAAAACCTTCTTGACATTCTAAAACACAGACAACCTAACAGCTTCACTGACCTCTCTCAAAATGAGATCTAAGGTATGCCTGTGTGAATTTTGAGGATGTTTCAACCGCTATTCAGTTGTTTTTGTCATATCCGAAAGGTCGGAACAGAGTAATTTGTAGTTGGTGTGCTGATTAATTTAAGCAGCAAGGAGGTCCATCCATCTAGCCTCGTGAGACCATCCTGATCTCGCGAGCTTTCAAGATTTCACTCGCTAATCAGTCTGGAGACTCTCCGTTGAAGAAAATTTGGAGCCGTTCACCAAACGAACGTCCAATCAG